TTTTGGCCATTTTTTCTTTTCTTGCGATTGTAGATTGCACTATAACTTTCAAGTCAACATCATTGATAAAGGATCACCACCATCATAATTGAACATATCAAAAGCACCACTTGGAGCTCAAAGTTGCAGCAGACATTTCCGTGCATCACTGTTCAAACTGGTACTTCTTTTTTTTTTCCAGTCTAAATGTTGACCTTTGATGGCTAATTGAAAAACACCGGTCACACCAATGTCTTCCTCAGACTTCAATGACTGTTTCTAGAACCCTCCATCTCTAACTGACTTCACACGATCAGAGACTACCATCTGCTCCACTCTTTTTTTTGGAAGAAGCATCTCCTCCATTCTTTGCTCATATCCCTATTTTCTAAGCAGTTTTTGCACAACCTGATTATTACCCTAGTAGCCTTGTCCGAGCTCCACTCTCAGCAACATTGCTCAAATCTCTGGATCTTTCACACTATCCCTCCCGCGAATTATGAGCAGTACCTTAAATTTTTGGGCATTCAAAGAGCCACCTTATACTTTTTTTGCTGGTACCACTTCCATCTTATACTTTTGAGACCAGTACACTAAGTCTATGGATCTTTGATTGGGTTCCTTAATGCTCATAGCACATCTCTAATCATCTCCATCTTCCGTATAGTTTTCATAAGTCCTAGTCTTTTCTTATGGCAGCATTAGTTAACAATTTTAAAAGATCAGCTAAAGGAATTGGCCATGCTCTACACCTTGAGTTTGTCTTGTGTACGCCGGGTACTCTATTTAATATTATTCTCCCTCTGTCCTGCAATGAAGGTTGCAATTTCACTTCACTGTGTTTCCATAATCTTCGATGGAGCCAAATATCACTATTTTTTGGCTTTGGGGTATGATGGAATAAAGAAAAATGACTCTTTAAACTGTCTGCGCTTCTTTTAACAGTGAAGTAGGAGTTAGTCAATGCAACCTTCGACGCTCATTATGGGTTATCTGAAACAGCCGCTCTAATTTTTAAACATAGGGGTCAGGCTACGTACGTGATTATCTATGGTGCTTGAGGCGGGGGTCTCTTTGGAAACAACCTATCTACTTTTGAGTAGGGGTAAGGTCTGCGTACACACACTCTCCCTAGACCCTACTTTTGTGGGATTCAACTAGGTTGTGTTTTAGACAAGATATTTTTTCTATTTTGACTTTTCTCATATTGTTCCTATATTTAAGTACGGTGCGAAAAAAGTTGGGTGGGGAAAGAAAAGGTGAGCGCTTGTGAAGAAAAAGTTAGTGGGTTAGAAAAGTAGGGTAAATGTGGGGGGTTAAAAGTTACTAGTACTTATAGGATACTACATTTTCTTCAATTTTTTGTATTACCTAAATTAGGAGTATAAACTTAATTTTGGGATATTCAAAAAGGAAGGTGTAAACTTAATTTCGAGACGGAGGGAATATGTGGTAAGCTCAGTCATTTTTTAAACTGTAGTTTGACATTTTCCTCTAATATTGCAATGACAATATGCCAAACCGTGAGCAAACACATTCAGCATTGGGCTCAAGACCTTGAGTTGTAGGGCTTCTATTATCTCTGTCCTCTAAATTGAGTCGTACATACGTTCACTAGGTCTCCCATAGTCATTCATATCTGTTTGGGTCATTCAAGTGATGATGCACAGTAACACTGTTCTTACTCATACATAAACATACATTGCTTCTAAACATGGTTATCAATGCGACAAGTCAAGTCGAGTCGGTGGAGAAGAGACTAGTGGACTAGTCGACAAATTACAATAAGTAATGACATTTTTACAATTATATATTTCTTCATTCACCAAGGATAACTATCAAGGGAATATATATTTATACGATGAAGTATCATTACCATAACAAAATTATGTTTAAAGGTAGTACATAAACTTACATAACAAAGACAACGTAAGGAACAAATATCCTTAAATTTTCAAGCCCAACAATCTAACAAAGATAACAATTAATCAATACAAAAACAATATATTAAAATATTTGTTTTATATGACACGGGTTTGCTCTCATTAAAAGTAAAGACTTTGTTTTAGATTCAATAAAAGTGCACTTTATTCTTAAAAAAAGTAAAAAAGCAGTTGTATATGCCTATTTTTAGGAGGGAGTTTTTTAAAAGCCTTATTAGAAAATTAGGTCTAGCATAGATAAGCCCACTAAGGTTTGAACCAACCCAAATATTATGACCTATTTGCGCAGCCGTAAATAACAAAGAGAGGGTTTGACATCCGCTTGACAGAGTGAAACGCGATAGGTCCGTAAGTCGATTGCGGCCACGATAATGAAATCGGAGATGTAAGTCTTTCTTCATCCTATCTTCTTCTCTTTCATCTTCTCTCAGTCATGGAGCCGTCTGCATGCATTTCGGGATTTTCAAGGTCTCCAAGCCGTCTCCGTGCAACATAGCAGTTCTAGGCACTAGTCGATGGTCAAGTCAACCTCTCCAAAACGACCGGACGACTAGTCGTGGACTAGTCGGCGACTAGGCGACAACTTAACAACACTGCTTCTAAATGAATATTGAATAAATTCTCATCTGTCTCTACTCTCTACTCCTAAAAGAATAGAGTTTCAAACTGAAGATTGCACTAGAAATTATATTCTTGAAAGTAAAAGTACATAGCTCTAGAGGTGCGCTGTAGAAAAAAAGACATTTGACCTTTTATAATCGGAAAACACATGACGGCTTATCTCTCGTGCTCACATGTAATCTCCTCCTTGATCTTGTAACTTCTGTTTCTTTCACTTTTTTCTATTCTTTTTCTTTTTCCACTTCTTCCGTATCCTTTTGCCTCACACTGTATTTCTCTACTCCTAAGCCTACACAACCAGATTTAAAATCCACCTCTCTGCAAGATGCCTCCTTTGTCTCAAATCCTGTACTGAACAGGACCACATCCCAAAGGATTGCAATTATAGCAGAGTAATCTGGTCCCACTAAGAGCGTGCTCTTTATATTCCAAGAACTATGAATTGACTGAAAGCTTACCTCCATCTCTGGTGGAAGATGGTGAGGAGAAGCAGAGATTGAGCCCTTGTCGTTCAGATCCTCTCATGCCTGATCCTCTACAACATATGGAAAGAATTGAACAAAAGACATTACGAAGAAATCAGCACAAGTGCTCAGAAAATCATCCTTTTCATTTCTTATGATATTTTGCAGCAGGGAGGCTCAAGTAATACCTGAAAAAAAGAGCTATGATGAGAATCCCACATGTTAACTGCCCACTCGCGCTGCCGATGGTTAATGTCATCCAGATTTTGCGTTGGCTTCCTCCGGAAAGGCACACAAACCTTGTTACTACGGATTTCACGTTCGATAGAGATGAACTAGCGAGCGGAACAATTCTAAGAAATGAAAGAGGGGACTTCATTGTCGTGTATGGTTTCACCGTTAGAATAGATCATCTGGAAATTGGGAAGGGATAGCAGTGCTTCAAGGACTATGTTGGAATTTGACCGTTACCAACTCTATTACTTTGCACTTGGACAATAAATATGTGGTGGACCTCATCAACCAACCGCACCAAGCTCAACCTTCGGGAAGGATGAAAGACCCAGTGACCTACTACTAGCCCTTGCTAAAGAAAAGAATATTACTGTTCGTCACATGTTGAGGGAGGCAAATTGTGCTGTTGATTATCGCTCATTATAGTCTTCTCAAAATATGTAACCTCGTTTTCCTTGATTTTCGGCTCCTACCCCTAGTACCCAAGAGGATTTGAGGAGTCATTTTAACTGATGTAAACACTGCTTTCATTTGTTTGAAATAAAGTTGAGAAGGGTTCCCCGACCTTACCCCACTGATTTTTGTGGTTTTCCACTGGGATTAAGAGTGAAATAAAAGAGTTTTTAAAGAAATAAAAAAGGGAGTAAATTCAAAGTTACACAACAGTCCAAAGTTACACCACAGTCCAGTTGGATCCCACGATATATATATATGTGTGTGTGTGTGTATGTGTGTATGTATGTTTATATAGGGGACAGTTCACGTGAGAATACACCTTGGTGAAAGAAATAAAAATAAAATCTAGCCTTTGGATCTGATGCATCGTGCGACCCAGATTGCATCCTGCGCTCAGATTTTGAGATAATGCATTTTCAAAGGATTTTGGTGCATTTCGACATGACGCATTTTCAAACCATTTTGGTACACCTAATTTTGATGCAATCCTGACCCTTAGATCTCACAATCTAAAGCACCAGATTTGTTCTTATTTCTTTCATAAGATCACATTCTCACCAGAACCAAAATCTATATATATATATATATATATATATATATATATATCATCCCAAATATATTATTCATCTTAGAAATCAATGGTCACATCCCATTTGAAAATGCCAGCAATCAATCAAACACAGAAATGCAAAAACAAATTCCAAAAACCCAATATATAATTTAATGGCAGTAATATGATTATCTTAAATCCAGGCAATAGTAAGAAACCATTCTTCAAGTTTATTTATTTATGTATGTATGTATGTATGTATGTATGTATGTATGTATGTATGTATGTATGTATGTATGTATGTATGTATGTATGTATGTATGTATGTATGTATGTATGTATGTATGTATGTATGTATGTATGTATGTATGTATGTATGTATGTATGTATGTATGTCATGTATGTCATGTATGTCATGTATGTCATGTATGTATGTCATGTCATGTCATGTCATGTCATGTCATGTAGGTACGTACGTAGGTATGTATGTATGTATGTACGTATGACGTACGTACGTACGTATGTTTTTTTCCTTCTTGATGTGTCTAGTTGGAATTTCATGCAACATATTCATGCACAGTATGATGAAACAGTTTTGCTGGTTCACTACCTCAGTTCTTGGGTTCATAATTTCCCAATAAAATGAAGTCATTATACTGCTTATTTTTTTTCTGTTGAGAATCAATTAGTTGTTGCATTAATGTTCTTTGAGTCAGTGCTAGCTTAAGTACCTAAACACCGAGTTTATCTAGGAATAGAACTTTGACTATCTCTTTGCAGGCAGCAGCAATCAACTGCTTGAGTGCAGCACTATCCTCATCAGCATTCTCCACTCCAGTGAAAGATATGCTCCTGGCTGAAGTGACAAAAGGTAATTGTTTTTGTTCTCCTGCCCTGTTTTTATTCATTATTACACTTTTAAAAAGGGTAAGTATGGCGTACCCATTGCTAAAGCTCCCATGCATGTGGCTCTGGGGAGCAGCAAATTTTAGGCCAGCTTTCCATTGCTATTTGCAAGAAGGCAGATTCGACCCTGAACATTCAAGAGCAAAGGGGTAGACTCAACCAGTTGTGTGTGGTGTTCCTTCAAATTTTCTAAGAGTAATCATGTAAAAAACAATCATCATCACCACCTTAATCCCAGAAAGTTGTCGTCATCGACACAAAAATTATAGTGTGAATTAAAATGAATAAAACTAATTAGCACTAAGGGTGCGTTTGGTTAAGGGAAAATATTATCACGGGAAATTTTGATTCCATTTTCCCATGTTTCGTGACATAAGTGGTAGGAAAATATTTTCTCCCATCAAAAGAAAATTATTTCTGTTTGTTTTCGAAGGAAAATCCCTACTCACTTCCCGCCCTTGTCCCCATCTGCAACCCCGCCCCCCTTCCCCACCCCTACCCCTGACCCTTTTACCCTG